CAATTGCTTATCTGTTTTCTGCCATTATAGTTTTGCCTATTTTCTAAAATTTCATATAAATGGAATCATATAGTATATAGTCTTTTGTGCATGGCTTCTTTCACTTAGCACAGTGCTTTTGTGCATGTATGAGTACATTTTTTATTGCTGAATAATATGCCATTGTATGAGTATACCACAATTTATTGATTGGTTAACTCATTTGATATTTGGGTATTTGGGCTGTTTATACCTTTTGGCTATTGTGAATAGTGCTGTTGTGAACATTTGTATGCAAGTCTTTGCGTGGAAATGTTTTCATTTCTCTTAGTTACATGCCTAGGAGTGGGATTGCTATATATATATATAGTAAGTATATGTTTAACTTTATAAGAAACTGCCAGACTGTTCCAAAGTGGCTTTTTGCATTCTTACCACCAGTGCATGAGAGATTCAGTGACGGGCCCTGGTAGTGTAGTCGTGAGTGATAAATGAATACGTACTGACAGATTCTGGGCAGTAACTCTGAGACTCAACAGGGAGCGAGGAGGTTCTGGTGGTGATGGTTGTTTTTCCACCATCTAGTGTGCCTCATGGCCATCCTCTTAGACTGCCTGACCCTGGGGCTTTTCTTGAGGCAGAGTTAGTGGCCCCAATGGATCTCGTTTATAACCTTATTAACTAAATTATGGATGAGTGAGCTAAGGGCTAAGGGCCCAGAGGCTTTCATGAGTCATAACCGTTTTATTTGCAACACTTAAAAGGTTAAGAATATTAAGACAATGTTACCAGCAGATCCTTAAAGCAATTTGGTAGATTTGGGGGATGAACTGTGGGAAAAACTATAACCCATCCTAGGACAGATCATACTCTATGTCCTTATCTGTCCATAGTTTCATGGACAAATGTAAGGCGATGTGGAAAGCTAAAATAGATACTAAATTTGAAGCCAGTATTTTGCAGTTATTTCCTATCTTTCTAGGTACAGGGCCCACACATTGCATAGGCTTTAAGATAATCATTAATACTCCAGGATTCCTGGGAAAGTAATTATTTTCTTTTTGAGTTGGAGTCTCACTCTGTTGCCCAGACTGGAGCGCAGTGGCCACTTCCAGCTACCGCAGCCTCGACCGGCTGGGCTCCGGCAATCCTTCCGTCTCAGCCTTCCAAGTAGCCGGAACTACAGGCGTGCGCTACCACGCCTGGCTGAGTTTTTGATTTATTGTAGAGATGAGGTCTCGCTGTCCAGGCGGGTCTCGAACCCACGGGCTCAGGCAGTCCGCTCACCTCAGCCTCCCAAAGGCGTGGGATTATAGGCTGAGCCACCGAACCCGGCTGGAAAGTAATTCTTAAACCTTAAAAAGATGCCACTGCTCAAAGCTCTTGTAGAACATACACACACACACAGTAACTGATGAAACAGAGAGCAGGTACTTTGGGACTTTTCTTTCTTCTGGCCCGTTTGAGGCCCCTAGGAAGGAAGTGGATTTGCTGTGCAATCCTTGGGAAGTTGAATCTTCACTTTTTCAGCGATAGAGCCTGTAAGGAACCCTAGAACAGAAGCTCCACTTCTTTGCAACTCCAAATGTGAGAAATATGTTGTAAAGTGAAGCCATACTTAGGTTCATATTGAGAGACTGAACATAATTGAAACAAAAAGATCACAAAATGAGACATAACTTTATTTTGTGTAATGCATTGATATTTTGTTTTACTCTATTTTATTTAAAAAACCCAAAAAATTAGTGGTTACTACTCACTAATTTGCTTACACAACCCATAGAGTAGAGGTCTACTTTCAATCTGTCTTTTCTGTCTTACAGACCAGAAAAGTGGAACACAAGGGAAACCAGGGACTTTTGGAGTCTTACTCTAAGCAATTGAATAGCAGAACTGGCTCCACCTTACTACAGGCTAATCAATTGTCTCCTTAATTCTGCCTACAGACTTGGCTCAGGCAAGAATGAGTTTATTTTCCCCACTCCTCTACCCAAAATGATGATGATTCTCCCGGGAGCAGTGTCCTATGGACTGCCAGTGTTGGGTGCAGGAGGGAGAGGGGCAGAGTGCCACATCATACCCAGCAGCTAATGAATACTTTAGGGACCTGAGAGGAGAAGATGGAGTCCCTCACCTGGCCTTTTGGCCTCCAGCTGTATTCATGAGCCACACTCTCTAGAGATGCCATGAAGAACTGTTTTTATTTATTTTAAATTTTTTATTGGAGGTAGGGATGGGTAAGAGAGATGTGTTTCTATTTAATTGAATACATTTAAAGAATCCTGAGCAGAATTGGAAAGGGATTTGCATTGTTGTTAGCATTGCTGTGATACCAAAAGCAACTTTACACCTTAATGAAAATTTTGTATTGTGTTTCTAAATCCTGGCCCATGAGAAGTGTCTTGTGCACCTTAATCATTATGGTATCTTACCTATGCTTTGGTACTGGCAGGCCAACCATGATTCAGTAGCTTTCCTTTGGTATTGTTCTTACTCAAGACAGTAGACTAGTGTGAACCAATCTGTAGACCTAGAGAAAGGACTTGTGTGGCCAGTCATCTTAGAGCTCCATCTTCTGGAGAGAGTCTGGAATGTACTCCTTTACAGTCTCCATCATCTGGAGAGAGTCTGGAATGGCTAGAATGTACTCATTTACAGTCCCATTGCCTGTGTTGAGTTTCTGGACATTTCACATGCCCTACTGGAGGCTTTTGTGGTGATAAGAAGGTAGTGCCAGGCAATCAGGACCTAGGTTCTCTGTCTTTTGCATATAGGAAAAGAGTCCAACTAGGGCCCAGTCATGTTCTCTCTGAAAGGAAGGGATTAACACCAGCTTAAACTCTTTAAAGGAGGTTACTTTAGCCGGGCTCGGTGGCTCAGCCTGTAATCCTGTGTCTTTGGGAGACTGAGGTGAGTGGATTGCCTGAGCCCGCGGGTTCGAGACCCGCCTGGGCAGCGAGACCTCATCTCTACAATAAATCAAAAAGTCAGCCAGGCGTGGTAGCGCATGCCTGCAATTCCGGCTACTCGGAAGGCTGAGGTGGAAGGATTGCTGGAGCCCAGCAGGTCGAGGCTGCGGTGGCTGGGAGCGGCCACTGCACTCCAGTCTGGGCAACAGTGAGACTCCAACTCAAAAAAAAAAAAAAAAAGCCAAACAAACTAAAAGAGGTTACTTTATAAAAAGAAAATATGAATATGTGGTGAAAGCTCTCATGGGACAAGCTAAATGTCCCATCATATGCATAGTGGGAATGCTGTACCAAGGCAGAAGTGCCAGACTGTGGTCCCTAGAGGCAACTGTGGGGCACCCAATAGTCGGGTTACTTGGGAGCAGTTTCTTATTGTCCTGTCCCTGGATGAGTTTCCTAAACTCCTCCATCAACTTCAATTTTTGCAACAGGGAGCATAGTATCCACCTCACAGAAAGTATCATGAGGACCAAATGACGTAAGAAGTTCCCATAATGAGCCTGGCACATAATAGGTGCTTTACCCACATTAGAGGATAGAGGGCACATTTCAAGATCCATCCTCATTCAGCTCTCAGTTGGAGTCATGGGAACTGGAGTTCACAGAAGGATCTCTTTACAGATACTGAAATATAGTTTAAGTCCTGTAAGTAGTACTAGTAGAGACTGTGTAGTTTGTAAATTAGACAAAACAAAACTAGCTTGACATGCCCTGAAACAGTTAACAGGATGTGTACAGAGGTGTGCTTTGCTGAGTATGCATCCAATGTGTGACTGGGGCCTAGTGGATGAGAGCCCATTGCCCCAGGAGCGAAACTTTGTTTTAAAGGTGTGTGCCCTAGCTTTTGGTCATCAGGATAGAACCGATAAAAATAGTCAGTGACCTAGAACACTGTGTATCTTTTTCAACAGAGTCAGCTAGCCTCGATCAGTTGTTTTTAGATACAGACGTTAATCATTAAAGCTGAGCCCAAGCTCCATTGTTAATAAGGTTAACGGGGCTTGTTTTTGGCCTTAGGCAGGGGCAGTGTGTGTGCACAACCTGGACAAATAAATCTTATTAGATGATTTATAAACAGGTTTTCCCTATATTTAAATGCATTTTATAAAAATATAATTAATTGAGAGACTTTATTTTAAGCTTGACAATCATTATATTAGAAAATGGTAAGATTCAATCTGAATATTAGGGTTGAGATTTTAAGCTCACCTCATCACAGTAGCGTGTTTTGCCTGCTGTAGTGGCCTTCCAACGCTGTAGTGGGGGTTACTGCTTCTTTAGGGGCCCTTGGAGCCCATTCCTTGCCTGTCTGCTTTGCTTCTCTCACACCAAAGCCCCAGCTCAGAGTGTTTGTCTTTTCTGCGGGAGGAGGCGGGTGATGTGGGCCATATGGGCGGGTCCCCGCTTGAGCTCAAGCTGTTTTGTCTTTCTGCTGGAGGAGCAGGGTGAGCTGCTCTAAGGCAGTTTCCGGGCCACTTCAAACCCCCATATAATCATTGTGTTTGCTTCCGGCAGAGCATTCTGGCCAGAGCTAGCCAAGGAGCTGAGATCACATAGACGCACGGACAGACAACAGACGGAGGACGCGCTGGCTGCTGGACCCCGCTGCCTCCCCCTTCTCCCTGCCGCCTGTGCCCGGAGGATGAGCCCAGCCTTCAGGGCCATGGACGTGGAGCCCCGCACCAAGGGCGTCCTGCTGGAGCCCTTTGTTCACCAAGTCGGGGGGCACTCGTGCGTGCTCCGCTTCAATGAAACAACCCTGTGCAAGCCTCTTGTTCCAAGGGAACATCAGTTCTACGAGACCCTCCCAGCTGAGATGCGCAAATTTACTCCCCAGTACAAAGGTGAGCCCCCAGCTTTGAGGAGATGAGAGGGATCTGTGGTTCCAAAAGGGTCTGGCAGCCATCCCTGGGGCCCTCACTCCCTCCCACTCCATGCTATTCCTCCTCCCCTTCCTCCTCACCTTTAGCCCAGTACTTCACACCCTCAGTTTTCAAGCCCTGGTAAGATTGCTCAATTCTGTTTTGCTTTGTGAAATTGTTTTGAGTTTATTTTTGGTAGAAGTGTAGTTGTGTTTTATGTTCAGGTATCTCTTGATCACAGTAACCCATAGTCCCCTGTGGGGGACAGTGGGCGAAGACTTTGGGAGGATTTTACCCAGAATACTTGCCGCCTGCTTTTTGTCCTCCAGGAAGCCAGAAGCCCGGGTGATTAGGTAGGCTGGGAGCAGGGTTGAGTCAGATGGAATGCAGGAGTGGGAGTTCTGTGCTGATTAGCCAAAGCCCTTTGCTGTTATGGAATGTTCCTGAATTGCTATATGATGGCAACCCTGATTCACATATGGTGACTTTTTCTTCCTTTTTGTAATGTATTCTTTGGGCAATATCAGCAGCCACTAACATGTTGTGGTCTTCCCTGGGGAGGGGGTAATCTTTTGTAAGTCAAGGAGTAACCCATTAAATAAATTAATATTTAATGTGCATTACCTGGTTATACAAAAGAATACCAGAACAACTTAGGTTCTTCTGGAACTGTTGACACATTGTCATTGAAGACAGAATGTACTGGGGCCTCTCTCTGTACTCTGAATATGCATGTGTATTGTGGTGGGGGTGGGGGAGTTGGAGGCCCTCACTTGGTCCTTTTCTGTTGTTTTTTCCAGGACAAAGCCAAAGGTCTTTGTTAGCTGGCCATCTTGCCCCGTTTTTTCCCCTGGTTCTTGCCCCTGTGGCCACAGGGAAGTGTGCTCCCCTGAATTTCCCACCCAGGCTCCTCTGCACCCAGAGCTGGGGGCCATCTCAGAAGTGTCGTCTCTCTCTGAGCACGCATTCCCCTGCAGCAAGAGAGCGGGCAGGCAGCAAGGACTGAGCAGATTGAGTGATCCTGGGGCAGAGAGGCCTGGGAGGAAAGTTGTTCAGCCAGTCATTTGCAAGGCGCTCGTCGGCACCTGCTGAAACGTTCCCACCTGACAGCCCCCTCCTCCTCAAAGACTGACTAATTATACATGACAGGTTCTAGAGACTCCAGGGGGAGAGCTGCTTTCAAGGCTACCACGTGTCTATGCCCCTTGCCCAACCCTGTCTGCCTTGTGTTTTGTTCTTTTGTGATGTGAGACTTCAAAGACCAATAAAAACATTTGAGAAGGAGAAAAGGCACTGGCCCCTGTGGGAGTGCTGTGGGAAGCCTTTGCTAGGGTGTCTGTTGTGCTGTTTGGTTTGTTTTGTTTGCCCTTTATTTTGCTTTGCTTACCCCAACTTCCCTTACCCTTGGATGCTTCTTACCCTCAGGCAAACCTGTGTCCTCCTGTGTTCAGGCTCTGCTTTAAAGCAAGCCTTGGGGCTGTTGGAGTTTCTGTTTAGGGTATTAAAAATTCCCACAAGATACAAAGAACAATGTTTTAAGTCTTTGAGGATTAGAAGAGTTACATAAAAATTAATAAACATTTTCAATGATGGAAAAATGTGTCTTGTAATTCTTTGGCTCTTGGCTTGTTGAGTGCATCAGAGAGGAAGACTCTCAGCCATGTTTGCTCCCTAATTGCTTGTCTTGTATGGTGTCATCTTTTCTAGCTGTTTTGATATTTGTTAAGTTTGCAGATGAGTTTGGGGCCTCTGGCAACATAGAGACTAAGGAACTGGGTAAGAAAAAAATAAATGTTAAAATCATGTTATTTAGAACGCATCTTCCTTTGAAATTAAAAGTCCTTTCTACTCCTCGCCCCCTTCCAGGTGTGGTATCTGTGCGTTTTGAAGAAGATGAAGACAGGAACTTGTGTTTAATAGCATATCCATTAAAAGGGGACCATGGAACTGTGGACATTGTAGATAATTCAGACTGTGAACCAAAAAGTAAGCTCCTAAGGTGGGCAAGCAAAAAACATCATGTCTTAGAAACCGAAAAGACCCCTAAAGACTGGGTACGCCAGCACCGGAAAGAGGAGAAAATGAAGAGGTGAGTGTAGACTGAGAGGTCTGTGGGCTATGTGGGAAGGGAAGTGCTGGGGGTTTGGTTACAGCCTAGTTCCTGGAGCTAAGGGCTCAAGGTAGATTTAGTATGTGCCTAATCACTCAGTGGCCAGTTCCCACATGGCATGCCTAGTTTCTCTTTACTTGACTGGATTAGATCATGCCAATTTAGATAAACAGCTACAGTGGCAGCAGTAAAAGAGATTTAGTCATTCCTTCTGTGACTGCTTTATGCCAGGCCTTGTCCTGTGTCCTGAATAGTAACCAAGACAGGACCCTTCTTTTTACCTCAGGTTGCTTACCGATAGTGTGGGACAGAATGGTTGGGCATCCCTAAAACTTGGGGATCTCCCTAAGCAGGGCCTTTCAAATCTTGTACCTTGGCAGAGTTTGTAAAAACTCAAATAACATGTATAAGTTAATATATATAAATTAAGTTATATATAATATAGCTAAGTAGGTTGACTTATTCCCATAGAATTTGATTCATATTTTCCCAGTCTCCATTTGGAGTCAAGGGAACCTTACTGTACTGGAAGCCACAAAGTGGTACTGTCTAGAAAAGGGCAGTGAAGGCTGCCCACCTCAGGGCTGGGGAGCAGAGGCTGATCTTGCATCGTAGATTCTCCTTGCTGTCAAAAACTGGTGGACTGGCCCCTTGATTTTCTTTTTTAAAATCAAGTTTCTTGACTTTAAAACTTGATAGGATAAAATTGCATTTGAAGTGTTCAGTGAGTTTTGGCATATGTATACACTGGAACCACTGCCACATCAAGATACCAGATTTTCATTACTACAGAAAGTTTATCTGTGCCTTTTTGACCCTGAATTTTAATAAAGCATATTGACTTATTGAATTCTTGTCTCTTTATAGCCATAAGTTAGAAGAAGAATTTGAGTGGCTAAAGAAATCTGAAGTCTTGTACTACAGTGTAGAGAAAAAGGGGAATATAAGTTCCCAGCTTAAACACTATAACCCTTGGAGCATGAAATGTCACCAGCAACAGTTACAAAGAATGAAGGAGAATGCAAAGCATCGGAACCAGTACAGTATCCTTTGTTCATGGGCATCTCTGCCTTGGGGGGATGGAAAGGGGAATTAAAGAGGGCTCTTGGGTTTTTATAGTCATGATTGAGTTTCCCCTACTGGGGTTCCAGGTCACCCTGTAACTATTAATTATGAGCAAGTATCACCTTCCTCAAAGCTAAGGACTAGCCTAGGAGTGCTGGTAATAGGGAGTGGGGTCTCTGGGAGGTGATAGGTGCCTTATGAAAGGGCAGCTTATTTCAGATAGGCTTTAGCCTAGGTAACCTAGAGGAAGAGGGCAAGAGGCTGGTCCCTGTTTTTATACCTCTTCAGAAGTCTCCAAACAGTGCTTACCTGCCAAGGACTAAGGGGTTGGGGGTAGGTGGGGAGACTGTCCTGGTTCACCAGACTGGCACATGAGGAAAGTACCAGGGTCCTTTCTTTTATTTATTTTTAACTTTTATTAAGAAAAACATGTTAAAAATAGAATACATTGATTGTTTAGCAAGAATCCTTCAGAGATGATATTGTACATGTCCATTGGGAAGCACAGTGTTTAGAGTTGTCTTTCTCTTTTGCATCATCATTACCTTCAATCCTTTTTTTTTCTTTTTGAGTCAGAGTCTCACTCTGTCACCCGGGCTGGAATACAGTGGCACGATCACGGCTCACCCTAGCCTTGACCTGCTCAGGCTGTCCTCTGCCTCAGCCTCCCGAGTAGCTGGGACTACAAGTACACACCACCATGCCTGGCTAACTTTTTAATTTTTTTGTAGAAACAAGTTCTCGCTATGTTGTTTAGACTGGTCTTCAACTCCTAGGTTTAAGCAATCCTCCCACCTTGGCCTCCCAAAGTGCTGGCATTACACGCATGAACCACTGCACCCAGCCAATAGGCATTTATTTTAGAGAGAAAAATATTTTCATGAGTTTATACTGATCTTCCATTTCATATTTAAGGCTATTGGGATTTACCGAACTTACTTGATGTTCTGTTTGTAATTGAAGACTTAATGTTGTTAGACCTTGGTCCTTTCTATACCTGAGTTCAGGAAATGGTGTATGTGTGTCTCCCAGGCTGGGAGAGCCCAAGCCTTTGTTGAGTCTACATGCAGGCTGCTCTCAGGCCAGTTCCCTGATAAGAAATAAAGATGCCTCTTAGCCCTGGGCTCCCTATGTGGAAGGTGGCAGAACTAATGGAGTCCTGTAGACTTGGGCTTTTCTGAGTCACTATGTTCAGGCACTGGACCCTGAGATTGCCAATGCTAAGGCACCATGTAGTAGCACTTCATCTTGGGAGAGTTTCACTGTCACCCAGGCTGGAGTACAGTAGCACACTTACAGCTACTGCAGCCTCAACCAGCTGGATTCAGGCTTTTTTTTTTAAGAGTCGAGGTCTTGCCAAGTTGCCCAGGCTGGTCTCGAACCCGTGGGCTCAGGTAATCCTCTCATCTGTACCCTCCAAAGTGCTGGGATTATAGGCGTGAGCCACTGCACCTAGCTGGGTATTTTCCTTAACCACTCAGAATTTATCTTGCTGGAGAACCTGACTTCCCGCTATGAGGTGCCTTGTGTCCTTGACCTCAAGATGGGTACACGCCAGCATGGTGATGATGCTTCAGAGGAGAAGGCAGCCAACCAGATCCGAAAATGTCAGCAGAGCACATCTGCTGTCATTGGCGTGCGTGTGTGTGGCATGCAGGTGAGATGTGTGCTAGTGCATGTCAAGGGCTGACTAGGGTGTCCAGTGGCTCTCACTTCCCCACTCTGGCATAGTCCTGTTTGTTCAAGAGATTACAGATTTAACCCTGATTGGATCTGAATCTATTGCTTTCTAGTTAAAATGGAAAATATGTATGCCTGGGTGATCCCTTCTGAGACTGAACTGACTGGTGGGGCCCAGAGTCTGTGGACAGGAGTAGAGAGGAAGGCAGTAGAGTTAGACTCTCCACTGACCCAGATGCTGAGTAAGGACTAGGACACAGTGACCAAACCTGGGTAGAATGGCTGCATCCCATGTCGGGGCTGATCAGAGTGTTAGTGGCTCATGTGCAACTGGCATACTTGACAAGTTAAAGGATCAGATCTGATCTGGGCTGTCACATTATCACCCACCCCCAGGGTCCAGGCATTGAGATAGCCCTCAGCTCCTGACCTACTGCTTTCTTTCCTACAGGTATACCAGGCAGGCAGTGGCCAGCTCATGTTCATGAACAAGTACCATGGTCGGAAGCTGTCTGTACAGGGCTTTAAGGAGGCACTTTTCCAGTTCTTTCACAATGGACGGTACCTGCGTCGTGAACTCCTGGGCCCTGTGCTCAAGAAGCTAGCCGAGCTCAAGGCAGTGTTGGAGCGACAGGAGTCCTACCGTTTCTATTCAAGCTCCCTTCTGGTCATCTATGATGGCAAGGAGTGGCCCGAAGTGGCCCTGGACTCAGATGCTGAAGACTTGGAGGACCTGTCAGAGGAGTCAGCTGATGAGTCTGCTGGTGCCTATGCCTACAAGCCCATCGGCACCAGCTCAGTAGATGTGCGCATGATTGACTTTGCGCATACCACCTGCAGGCTGTATGGCGAGGACACTGTGGTACATGAGGGCCAGGATGCTGGCTATATCTTTGGGCTCCAGAGCCTGATAGACATTGTCACAGAGATAAGTGAAGAGAGTGGGGAGTGAGCCTTCTGGCTGCTTCAGTACCTGCAAGACTCTCTGTGTCCCAGGCACAGCTGTGCTACATCAGTGCAGAAGCCAGTATGGCCAGGTGGTGGCCTCTGCTGCCTGGAGCCGATGCGCAGTGGCCTCTGTGAGCCCCAGCCTGAGCCAGCCACAACTGTGCTTGGAGTCTTTATTTATTTTAACTGTTTCTTCAACATTCCACATTTGATGATGCAGATACCTCCTTCTTCCCTGAGTGTATATGTTCTAATACAAATTTTTTTGTTTATTGTATACAGTGCTGCTGTCATTCTTTTCAAGGGCAAGCAATTCTGCCTCAATCCCTTGGAAGCCTCACCACATGCTGGGACCACCTTCCTGGCTCAATATTCTCCTGGCCACTGCCCCTACCCATGGATCTTAAAATTGGCACAGCTTTTTTTTTTGAGTCGGAGACTCACTCTGCCACCCAGGCTGGAGTGCAGTGGCATACTTATGGCCACCACAGCCTCTACCTGCTGGGCTCAAGTGATCCTTCCACCTCAGCCTTCCAAGTAGCTGGAACCCCAGGTGCATGCCACCACACCCAGCTAATTTTTTTATTAGACAAGGTCTTGCCAAGTTGCCCAGGCTAGTCTCGAACCCCAGGACTCAGGCAGTCCTCTTGCCTCTGCCTCCCAAAGTGCTGGGATTACAGGCGTGAGTCACTGCGTCCAACCAGCACAGCTTCATGGCATGGTTCTCAGTCTCTTACCTAGCACCCTGAGGTCACACGAAAAGGACCTCCCCATACGTATACTTTAGCCAGGTCCCTCTGGGGTCTGTGCTGGCTGTCTTAGCACGTCTACCCAAAAACTACACTTGACACAGGTCTTCCCATGGCCCTATGCAGCTTAAGTCAAAGTTGGGCAGAAAGTGCTTCAAACTTTGGGTCTAGCTTTTGCTCCCTCCTGTGCCCCTGGCAGCAGCTAATTGGCTGGATGTTGTGTACCAGTTGTCCTAGAGCCAATACTGAAGTTTCAAGAAGCTGCTAGGCCCTGCTACATTGGCAGCCACGGGCTGTGTGGTAGAGGGTCCCAGGTGATAGAGGCCTCAATGAAGGGGGTGTTTGGGTAGGGTTTTGGCCACACCACCTGTCACCACTCCTGCCCAGCCCCGGGCCCCACTGCAAATAGATGTTTCATTCTTCGGGCAGTCCCAGCCAGCACAGCATGTGAGAGCTTCTGCTTTATGCCAGGAGGGCTTCTGGGAGGAGGAGGGGCTGAGGGAGGTCTTAAATTGTAGAGCCAGACTTGGTATAGAGAAGGCAGGGTCGATGGCAGGGTCGATGGCAGGTTCTAGTAGCTGTACTGCTTACCTGCACCTCACAGTACGTCTTGTTCAAGGTCTACTTGATTTATCCACTCAACCTAAAAATAGGCAACTGCATACACTGGCTTGGTTGCATCCACACCTCCTGCTCTTTGGGCTTGGGCTTCCTGTGGAGAGGGTGTGGCTAGACCAGCCCCAGTGACCCTCTTTCCTGGTCCAAGTCTTACTACAAGAATTTCAAAGACCTGGAAGTCTGGGCTGACTGGAAAGTTGTGTGGGTCAAACACAGTCTTTAAGGCCATGTGGTACTGCACTCCCCACCCTCTGTCAGCTCTCCTGTATGATCTCAGAAGGGAGCATCAGAAACAGTCTGGAATTTTAAGTCCCATAAAGACAAACAGCAAGATGATAGTGACTGATGGGGTGGGAGCTTGACAACCTTACACTGTAAGGGAGAGAGGGAAGAGTGCTCCAAGTAGAAGAACAGAATACACAAAGACTCAAGATAGAGAAAAGAAGCAGTAGCTTAGGGAGGCGTGGGGTTGGAAAGCAAACGAGAGGATTTTAGGCAGGGAATAGCCTGATCTGATTTCTGGCTTTTAATTTTTACTTTTAGAGACAGTCTTGCTCCACAGTCCAGATTGGTGTTCAGTGGTAAGGTTATAGCTCACTGCAACCTCGAACTTGGGCTCAAGTGATCCTCCCAACTCAGCCTCCCAAGTAGCTAGGCCTAGTAGTATGAACCACCACACCCAGTCAATCAAACATGTTTTTCTTGGTAGACACAGGGTCTCCTCGCTTTGTTGCTGGTCTCCAACTACTGGTCCCAAACAACCCTCAAGCCTCAAGCCTTCCAAAGTGCTTGGATTACTGATGTGAGCCACCGCGCCAGGCCTGGTTTCTGTTTTTATGGTCACCTCCTCCCCACTGGCCACCACTGGCCCAATACCGGGAGCAGGGACTTGGCGAAGAGGAGTCGTGAGACCTAGATATAGCCCCTGGGGGCTTCCAAGTGTGGGAACAGCGGGGACCAACAATGGGACCGCCCTCTCGAGGTCGCCGTTCTTGTTAGCCGGTCAGGACCCACTCCCCCCGGGCGGCTGTGGCGCGCCGGCTAAGAGAGGAGCGCGCCTTTCCGGAGGTAGGACAGGATGTACCGCTCGGACTTGAGCAGGAAAAGGGAAACGAGAGCTAGATGCGGGAAGTCGAGGCCAGAGTGAAAGGTGAGCATGTGGCGGCCGGGGATGCCGGGGCCTGGAGTCGGAAAGGTCCGGACCTTAGGGGGCGGGAAGCTTTGGAGCCCCGCCCCACCCCGCCGAGCCTCTCCGGGCCACGTGGGGGCGCCGCTCTTCAGTGCGCAGGCCGATACAGTCTGGGGTGGGGCTTGGCGGGTGGGCACGCGCGCGCACGCGCGTTGTGTCACGGGGTGGGGCGAGCGCGGTGCGGCGCTCCCGGCCTGGAGTGTTGGTTCGGTATCCTCCGTCACCTACCTTGCACCGGCCCGGCCTGGCCCCATGTACCGCGCGCTGTACGCCTTCCGCTCGGCGGAGCCCAACGCGCTGGCGTTCGCCGCGGGCGAGACCTTTCTGGTGCTGGAGCGCAGCAGCGCGCACTGGTGGCTGGCGGCGCGGGCGCGCAGCGGAGAGACGGGCTACGTGCCGCCCGCCTACCTGCGCCGCCTGCAGGTGAGTGTGCCCCTCTCGGCCCGGCCGCCGCAGCCCCTGGGACGGGACTCCTTCACAGGCCCGCAGAACCGACCCAGGGACCCCAGATTCTCCAAGACCTGAGACCGAGACCTCTGGCAGACAGGGAGTTCGAGAACCTGGCACTAAGACCGCAGACCCATGGAGACTGAAATCCCCAAAACCAGCATAGCATCCTTCATAAAAGACCAGGCCCTTGACAACCAACTCCAGATCTACCAAAAGCCTAACTCTGGCACTGAGATTCCTTGGGACCCCGGACCCCTCAATATCGAAGCCTCCAACTGAGTAGAATTTAAGAGCCAGACCCTGCGTCTCCAGCACCATCGAATTCTGATGAGACTCCAGACTCTTAATATGCGTCTTCCTTGGCTCTCTAGAATCCCACACTCTTGTCTTCTTCCCCTCTCAGGCCCCCAGTTGGTGACACTGCTTTCACTACTGAGACTTCGGCCACCTTGGACACCACCTGTTTCCCCAGACATTCTCCAGGTCCTCAATTCCCCTCTTGGACCCTTGAGCCATAGACAACCCTATCCCCTAAGTGACCCAAGCCTTGGGACCTTAGTGTCTTTCACTGTCTTGTATTCAGTCTCCTTCTCAGCTCTTCCCAAGATTACCCTAATCCTGTTTGAACTAAGGACCCTCAGCCCCTACTGACACTGCCTAGCACTGCTTCCTCTACTTTCCGAACCCCAGGCCTTGACTTTTCAAATTTCCTTCCTTTGAAAGTGGGGGAGCTCTGTCCCTCCTTATCCCCAGCCTGGAGCCGGGGCCGCTCCTATTCTGAGGAAGTGAGTCCTTCTCATGGCTTCCCCTGGTCTGACCATGGCCCCATTTCCTTCCAGTGGAAGCTGCAGTCCCAGTTCTGTTTCCCTAAGAGTAGCCCTGTTGTGGGGGCTGGGGTGCAGTGTCTTCAGCTGATATATTCTGACCACAGGGGGAAGGAGGGCCCAGAGCCGCCTAGGCTGTGCCAGACACCCCCGCCCTGTCCTAGTCTCCAGCCTTTAGGAAACATCCTGTCCCAGCTCGGTTCAGGACAGAAATAACAGGATAAATTTGGAATTGTCATCTGTTCTTACCGAGAGGATGGGCCCTGGGCTTTAGGGGCTTCCTCACAAACTCTCAGCCTGATCCTATGTAGAATTGACCATCGTAAAAGGTGGGGCCCAGGACACCATGGCTGCTGGCACTGGAGTGAGTGTGTCAGACCCAGTCTCTTTGGGAATGGGGTCTCAACGAAGGCTCTGAGGAAAGTCCTGTCTCTTCCCCTACTGGGCATAGTTTTTTTTGTTTTTGTTTTTGTTTTTTTGAGTTGGAGTCTCACTCTGTCACCCAGACTGGAGTGCAGTGGCCGCTCCCGGCCACTGCAGCCTCGACCCGCTGGGCTCCGGTGATCCTTCCGCCTCAACCTTCCAAGTAGCTGGAACTACAGGCGCGCGCTACCACGCCCGGCTCATTTTTTGATTTATTGTAGAGATGAGGTCTCGCCAAGTTGCCGAGGCAGGTCTCGAACCCGCGGGCTCAAGCAATCCACTCACCTCGGCCTCCCAAAGTGCTGGGATTACAGGCTGAGCCACCGAGCCCGGCTACTGGGCATAGTTTAAGGGCCTGTGAGTTCATTTCCCTAGCCAGGACCAGTGGGGCAGGATGTTTGGGGAGGGTAGAGAGGCTACCATCTTTGTCACTATCTCTCTGTTTCTTTCTGCATATCTTTTTCTATCTCCATTTCCATGACTACTTATCTCTGTTTGTGTCACTGCGACTCTACCTGTGTTTTCTCTTTCCCACTGTGTTTTCTCTCTCTGGCTTTCAGTTTCTTTCTGAATTGTTTCTTGCTGCCTGCCTCTCCATTCCTCTGAGCCCCTTTTTCTCTCCATGTCTTTCTTACTCTCTGGGTATACGTATGTCTTTCTTTGTGTCCCCTTCTCTATTTTCTAGAGTTCAGGGAGACATACCACAGAGAGGGGTTTGCTAACCTCTGTGTCCACCTGACTATCCCCATTAGGGAAACTTCTCAAACCCACTCCAGACTGAGTTCACCTCAGCTCTGAGGCTCCTCTGTAGCCTGATGGACCGTGGCCAGGGCCAGGGCCAGGGGAGGGTTGGGGGTAGCTGGTCCCACAGCTGTTACTCCCGCAGCCCTGCCCTATGCCAGACAGGCAAGGTAGACTAGACTCCTGGATTGCTGGGGGGTGGCAACACAGAGCTGAGAGCAGGGGCTAGACCCCTTCCTCATGTCTATCTGTTGCTTCCCCGGGTAGGTCTGGAAACTTAACT